AACTATATGATCATTTTCATTATTTTTTTCATTAATATACATCCATTCCCCATGTAATTCATTATCGTTTGAATCTTTCCATCTATCATCTAACACATCATCATATTGTTTCAAAATCTTTTCTAAATGTGTTTTACTTTTTTGTCTATATTCTTCATCTAATATAACATCTTTTATAGTTATATTAGGAGGAATTTTAACAGTATGTTTGCCATATTCCTTCTGAATCTGTTCAATAGGCGTTTTTGACAAACGATCATTGCCTTTAATAATCATTGCCATTGTTAAATGAAATTTTAGATCCCATGATTTTTTAGGTGGACCTTCGGTAAAATGTTTTAACACAGTTGAAGATATGGTTGAAATAGATTCAAAAAACGAAAAGAATGACATTTTTGTTTAAAAGAAAGATTTAATGGAAAGATTTATGCCTATTTATTAAAATTATTTAGTAGTGTATGGTAGTACAGATTCGGACAAATGCCCGAAAATTATACTAAATTTAGAGTGTTCTCAATCATTTTCAAAAAAAAAAGTTTATTATTGAGCTCATTGAGGGAAGTGCCTGAAAACACCATTCGTTAATTTCATTATAAGTTCGGGAAAGTGCTAGTATTGTTTTTTTGTATTAGGGTAAAGAAATTATATTATCAATTATATACTCATTAGTAAGTACGTACAACACCGGAAATAAACATTCACGGATCTCATTGATAACCATTCTTAACCTATGATGCTATTTTTGAGTTTAAATAAATTTATTGTCCGAAGTGACAAACTTGTGTTACACAAAAATTCCATAATCGTCATATCCTGAAAGTTAATAGATTACCGTAATCGAGTGCTTTACTGTTAGTAAATTTTGATACAAATGTTATCACTTCGAAGTCAATATCCAAATGCATTATTATTTATAGTTTTTATAAATATAGATCATTTAAAAGGTTTTAATAATGATAAATTTTGTACTTTGTATACATTATAGCACTAGTTTAATTTATATTCTGCGTACTGCATATATACATATACATTAACAGTAATTTAATACAATAGCTATACTAAATATATATTCATAATATTGTGTGCTCTCATTACTATCCTTCCAACTTCGTGGTAGTGCTTTCTTTCATATCTTCAACTAAATTTTAAGCGGGTTTAATTTTTTCCATATGGGGGTGAGTCAATAGAAATCAAGCAAATTATTTTTATTGAATTTTTTTAAAACTTTATACATTAATAATTTA